GGCTGCTCTTCGAGTTCCCCGAGAGCTCGCAGGCCGCGCGCGTGCTCGCCGTCGTCTCCGTGCTGGTCATTCTCGTCTCCATCGTCGTCTTCTGCCTCGAGACGCTGCCCGATTTCCGCGACGAACGCGACAGGCCGGGGCTTGCAGCGGTGGCTGCGGCGGGACAGGTGAGGAGGCGGGGCCTCGGCGGAGAGGGGCGGGGTTTGTGGGGGAGATGGGCTGGGTCCGTGGGTCCCTGGCCTATCAGAAAGCGGGGTCAGGGCCATGGAGGCGGGGGCCTCGGCGGAGAGGGGCGGGGTTTGTGGGGGAGATGGGCTGGGTCCGTGGGTCCCTGGCCTATCAGAAAGCGGGGTCAGGGCCATGGAGGCGGGGGCCTCGGCGGAGAGGGGCGGGGTTTGTGGGGGAGATGGGCGGGGTCCTTGGGTCCTGGCCTATCAGAAAGCGGGTTCGGGGCCGTGGGGCGGGGCCTCTCGGGAAGGTGGGATCTGGCTGTCGGTGGGCGGGGCACGGGGGTCTGGTAGGAGGACCTGACCAAGTTCAGGTGGGACAAGGGGCTTTAAGGAACGAGCAGCCCAGCGACAGGCCTGTCAGGGGACTCCACCATGAAAAGCTAGGGGCGCAGGGGTGCTCAATAGGGGCGGGGCCTGAGGGTCGGAATAGGAGGGCCCGTCCTATCAGAAGGCAGGGTTAAGGCAAGTGAGAAACCTGGCTTGCAGAGGAGGGCAGGAGTACCTGAGTACAGGAACATTAAGAAATCAAAGCTGGGGGCAGGGGAGAGCCTGAAAAATCTGGGGTCTGTGCGGCCCATGGTGACCGATGGGAAGGATGGACTGGAGGTGGTGAGAGTCGGACCTGAAGAAAGCAGCTGAGGCCCTGGCCCGTTCGCTCAGTGGTTAGAGCATGGCCTGCGGATAGAAGAGTCATGGGTTCCTTTCCCGATTCCCAGTCAAGAGCATAAACCTCTGGTGAGGATTAACAAACCAAAAAGGAAGGAAGGAAGGAAGGAAGGAAGGAAGGAAGGAAGGAAGGAAGGAAGGAAGGAAGGAAGGAGGAGAGAAAGAAGGAAGGAAGGAAGGAAGGAAGGAAGGAAGGAAGGAAGGAAGGAAGGAAGGAAGGAAGGAAGGAAGGAAGGAAGGAAGGAAGGAAGGAAGAGAGAGAGGAAGGAAGGAAGGAAGGAAGGAAGGAAGGAAGGAAGGAAGGAAGGAAGAAGCTGAGGTAGTTGGAGACAGCGTGGTGGGTCCTGAGGGCCAGGGTAGGAGGAATCCATCACAAACAAAGCCGGGAGCTGTAAGAGTAGGGGGCCAGGGTTTGGCAGACAGAGCGGTCTTTGACCATTATAGCATTATAGCCTGGGCTGGGTCTGGGAGGCAGGGTCCATGGGAGTGAGGCCAGCTTAGGGACCCTCCCTGACTAGAGAATTCATGCTGGGGGCCGGCTTTGGACAGGAAGAGGTTGAGCCCCGGCCACGCGTCATTTCAGGAGGCCCCAGCAGTGGATGAGGGGCCATAGAGTCAGCCAGGCAGGCATGACCCCGGGGTCCTGGGAGAGTCTATGACAGCCAGGTCACTGCTGGCCCGGGAGCAGCGGCTGTTGTCCGATTTGTAGATAAGTAGTTGGGTATTTAAACAAACAACGAATATGGCCATTCCCGTGTGTCCCAGCCCTGGTGCGGTCCTCCCTGAACCCCTTCCTCCTTGCAGTTCCCCTCTCGGCTGAACGGCTCCAGCCCTGTGCCCGGACCCCCACCCCGCACACCCTTCGATGACCCGTTCTTCGTGGTGGAGACGCTGTGCATCTGCTGGTTCTCCTTCGAGCTGCTGGTGCGCCTGTTGGCCTGCCCGAGCAAGACGGCCTTCTTCAAGAACGTGATGAACCTCATTGATTTTGTGGCCATCCTGCCCTACTTTGTGGCACTGGGCACTGAGCTGGCCCAGCAGCGGGGGGTGGGCCAGCCGGCCATGTCACTAGCCATCCTGCGGGTCATCCGGCTGGTGCGCGTCTTCCGCATCTTCAAGTTGTCTCGGCACTCGAAGGGCCTGCAGATCTTGGGCCAGACGCTCCGGGCGTCCATGCGCGAGCTGGGCCTCCTCATCTTCTTCCTCTTCATCGGCGTGGTCCTCTTCTCCAGCGCGGTCTACTTTGCCGAGGTCGACCGGGAAGACTCCTATTTCACCAGCATCCCTGAGTCCTTCTGGTGGGCAGTGGTCACCATGACGACAGTCGGCTATGGCGACATGGCCCCCGTCACGGTGGGTGGCAAGATAGTGGGCTCCCTGTGCGCCATCGCGGGCGTGCTGACCATCTCCCTGCCTGTGCCAGTCATTGTCTCCAACTTCAGCTACTTTTACCACCGGGAGACGGAGGGCGAAGAGGCCGGAATGTACAGCCATGTGGACACGCAGCCTTGTGGCCCCCTGGAGGGCAAGGTCAATGGGGGATTGGTGGATGGAGAGGTGCCTGAGCTGTCACCTCCACTCTGGCCCCCCCCTGGAAAACACATGGTCACCGAAGTGTGAGGGACAGTCAAAGCCTGCAGGACCTCACATTTC